AGAATTCCCTAGCCAGCATAGAATTCTGGGAGTTGAAGTCCACACATCTTCAAGTTGCCAAAGTTGAGAAATGCTAGTTTAAAGGATGCTTTAAAAAAAAAAAAAGCCTGCTATTCCTGCCCCCACCCCTTTTGAAATTGTATGATTTGGCTGGCTTGCTAGAGCTTTCTGAAACAGCAAAGGATACTGAGGGTTCTTGGGGACCATGTGCCATCCCCTGCGACATGATGTCATTGTACAATGATGTCATCTGTGCAGGACAAGCTGATTTAGAAATGAAATTAGTGGCTAGGCGCAGACAACAGTTGGTTTTCGTTTAGTGCCCTGTGCAGACAAGGCCACCACGGTTTTCCAGCCCCAACTGATGGCTAAGTCGTCCTTGTAGATTCAATAAACCCTGGCTTACTATGATGGATGAAAACTCAGCCAGAACTCGAAGAGGAGATAAAATGAAACGATCCTTCCTTCCTTCCTTCCTTCCTTCCTTTTCTCCTTCTCTTTTCTTTTTCCTTCCTTCCTTCCTTCCTTCCTTCCTTCCTTCCTTCCTTCCTTCCTTCCTTCCAAGACGTGCAGAGCAGGAAGCAAAAGATACAGAGAATCCTTGCCAGTCGTGACTGAGCTTTTCCTTACAAGCTGGCACAAACTCAGTGTTCCCTCTTTAAGCACAGGCTGGTCCCACAGTCAACTCTGTGTGTGTGTGTATGTGTGTGTGTGTGTGTTGGTGTGCAAGGGAGCAAGAGGAAAGGGAGGGCTGTGCTCAGCCTCTCTGTTCTCTCTCTCACACACACCCCTTTGCTCTCTTCCCCCCCAACCGCCACGCATTGACAGGGCCCCCCAAGTCATTGTCTTAGTTGTCATAGCAATCCCATGCGCTTGGAATGTGCTAATGCGCTCGGCCCTTCAGGGCCGGACAATGCAGGAAAGGTCGAAGGAGGGCGGGCAGGGGAGAAAGGAGAGAGAATGAACAAGGCTGGGAACTTTTCCCCCCCTTTCTTGCTCAGCAAGACCGTGGGGGAGAGATGGGGAGGGGAGAAGAAAGGGAACAAGGGAGTCAAACCGGTGTTGAATTTCCTCCCCCTCCAGCCAGCCGGATTCTCAGAAGGTTGCGCCCTGCAAAAGGGGTCTCACGGCCCCCTTTCCAAAAAAACATGCCTGGACGCCTCCGTCCATCCGCCATGCGCTCACGGCTAAGCA